GGTGCGGGACGCCAAGGGTGGAGCAATCCTTCAGGAAGTCAGGGCTTTTCGGCATATGGTCCCGGGGTTTAGAGTGCCGTTCGTGGGTAGGCAGAACAATAGGGTTGCCCATTTGGTGGCAAGGAAGGCCCTAGATTTGTCGGCTAGTGCTGTGCTTGGTTTGATTTTGCGCTTGGCTCCGTTCGGAGTTGTAAACGTTCGATCTATCTTTCTCTTGGTAATACAAGCTATCTTTGGTTAAAAATAAAAAAAATTATGCCAGAATAAATGCATCCAAATATGCAATTGTCTAAGAATTGAGTTTTTAGGGAGCAAAAAATTGCAATAATCAGATGGGAATGGGAAGAGCTGAACGTAATCCATAGCCGGGCTAGAGGCCCATTCCATAAATTCATAATTCCGCCGCCTGCTTAGTGAAAGACCAAATGGCCCTTTCATGAGCTGCGCAGGAGCGAGGAAAAAGAGTTTGAGTAGGTGTGGAGGGAGAACCTCCTTATTGTATTGTTAGAAGAAGATAGAGAAGATATGGATTTTGGTAGTGAATTTGACCAAGTCCCGTGGTCGGTTGAGGGCCTGCGCGCGGAACCTCAACTTAAGTTGGGCGTACTCTGTTTCAACAAACTTCCAAAATTATCCCACATTAAATAATCTCCACCTAATCCAGCATTAATTAGGAGACAAAAGCTAAATTCCAAAACAACTAAATCGTTTACCCCCCACAAGGGCGAAACGATTCTTGTCGTAAACCCTTATCAAGTTTGCATGTCTTTCGCCCCATCTCTGTTTGTGAATTGGGATTGTCTCCATAACTCACTTATGGTCAAGTTAGAAAGGTTAATTAAAGAGAGTTTAGTAAACATTGTTAGGGCAAAGAGAGTTGTTCTTAGAAATATGGTGATGTAACACGAACCCTATAAATCCCTAGTTAGTAGTGGTATCTTAAATGATAAGATCAGAATAAGACTATCTTAAATTGATCATGTTCGAATACTTTGCTTCGCAAATGGACACTGGCCTTAAATAAATTGATATATATATATATGTATGGTTGTTGAATTTGTCCGATGGGTTTGGTGTATTATTGTCTATTGACTTGAGATATTCTAGAACTTTTTCCAATATTTGTTCACTTGTTGTCTTTACATTTTTGTTTCTTCCTTGGTTGCGTTTGTTGTTTTTCTCTAATGCCGCCCATCATTAGCAATGACCACATTAAATATATGTGTGACACATCTTGTGCATGCGTACATTGGTTATCCTTTAAGGAGTTCTACATAGTGCTCGAAATTGGGATTTTGATGGTGATAGAGTCGTAAATCACGTACAATTTTTATAAATGATATTTTCATTATTTTCAAAATCGTGGGTATGACTAGGGATGACAAAAATATCCGTAACCGTGGATATCCCCCGAATCCGACCTTGTCGGGTAGGGTAAACCCGAACCCGAAGGACTTTTAGCGGGTACGGGTAAAACCCGAACCCGAATATTTCGGGTAATGGGTGGGCATGATTTTCTCATTATCCAACCCGAACTCGCCCGATATACACATGCATATGGATTTTGTCTAGAAATAATCATTATTTTTCTCTAATATATTTTATATTTAGCATATAAAAATAATCTTTTTCATGAAATTGTGTTGTTTTAATGAATTTTCTTCATTCTAGTGAATTGTGGTCATACTTTTTATCTTAGGTAATGTGAGAATACATGTGAATATTAACATATTGGTTGAAGTTATAAAGAGAAACTATTACCCATGGATAACCGTGGATACCCGAAACCCGAACAGGTATGGGTATGGTTTTGATTTTCTACCCGTTTCTTATGTGGGTATGGGTATGGATAAAACCCGAACTACTTTGGGTAGAGTAACGGATATGCACTATCTGTCCCCGACCCATTGCCATCCCTAGGTATGACGTATTTTCATAATCTAAAATAATTTATTTGGATGAATTTATATGTCGAAAAAATTGTAAAACACACTAATTATTTATATTTTAAGTAAATTTATTTTAATATATTATATATTATTTTTCTTTTACTATCTATAAAATATCTCGTATTAACGCAAATATATAGTATATTATCCTATATACAATTATACAAGGATCAATAATTTTTATCCAAATTTTTAGGTGTGTCAAAAGTGACTTGCCTCTGCCACTCCTTGCATTGTTTTATGAAACATTGTCCTTATTTATGAAATTGCAACTCATGATTTCAGTAAAAATTGTTTTTATCCATGAAAAACAACACCTGGTTTCATGAAAGATTGTACTTGTCCATGACAATGCAACCGCTTGTAAGCAAAGGGAACATGTGCCTTCCTAGAATTAGAATATTTAATTTTGGCCGGTCTAACCACTTGTTTGACCTGATTAGTATGGTTCATCCAAATTTCCAACAAAAATTATTTATCTATATAAAGCATTATTCTGCGGTCAAAAAAAAAAAAAAAAAAATATATATATAAAGCATTATTCCATTTTTATTTTATTTTTCTGTATGTGGTTTGAATTGAAAAAACTTCATTCTTATAGAAAATCCAATCATTTCTTTTTCAGCGGATCATGCTATGGGGATATGTTGTTTAGTGTATATACTATATAGTGATTAAATTAATAATAGTAATATTAGTGATTATATTTATTAATTGTTACTTTTACTTGTTTTCAACAAAAGGTGTTCCCCATTGTTAATTGTTATCATACTTTTCTCTACTAACCTAATCCAACTTCAGGAAAGTTTGAACTTTAACAAAATCTTTATAAAAGTATTTCCATTTCGCAAGTTGAGAATTAAAAATAAGGTAAACAAATAGGAAAATAATCATGTTGCAGTGATATGTGAAAACAAGAGATCACCCAGTGTGAGAAAATTAGTTGAAAGATTATTTATGATTCGAATTCGAGAACAACTCCTTCTCGTTTCTAAACATGGCCTGAGAAGTCGTGTTTTGTTTAATTTCATGTAGTGTACTACTTATTATATTCAGGGTTCTCGAGAAAATATAGAATAGACATGGCTTATACTAGGGCTGGCTATTTGGACCGGGACCGGATGAAAAACCGGAAACCGGACAGTATAATCCGGACCGAGACCGGACCGGGACCAGATAGTAAACAATCCAATCCAATCTTTGGGCTTAGATTTGAGGTAAAAAACCGGATAAGAGAGCTCAACACCCAAAACTTAAGGGTAATTTGCATAAACGGTCACAAACCTTTGCACTTAGTACAAAACTTAACCAACTCCTTGCCCTTTTAGGCCTTAGGCCACTCAAATTCCCACAATCTCAATATAAAATCAAGACCGAATTGGGACCGGACCGGGTCAAGACCGGACCGGATCAAAACCGGACTGTATCCAATCCAATCTTCGGTCCTTATATTTTCAAAAAACCCGTACTGGACCGGATCAATTTGGACCAATTTAACCGGACCGGACCGTATAGCCACCCTAGCTTATACCATCGTTGCAGTGATTAAAGCGCGGTTCGCGTACAAGTGTGAAATAATCGCGATGCTACCATAAATCCAAAGTACATTACCCTTATTGTTGTCGCACAAAATTGATCACCTTAACCAACCATATCCACACTAATTTATGGCATTAATTTATGTAGATACTTGTATTTTTGTGCACACTTGACAACGATTACCTGCCAACTCCTATGAGAAGACCTAGTCACTGAAAATAATTCCAACTCCAGTAGACTTTCATGGGACAAGTTGAATGTAACTTCATTAAATACATATATTTCATCATCAACTAATGATGATCACCTTCGCTAATTACGTGTGAAAAGCACCATTATAGCAATTAGCAAGTATATATATATAATGTATGTATTTTTTTTTTATACTTGCACCTGCGCCTATAGGGCTACTGGCTACCTTATATAAAAATTATGGTTTGGTTATGTGCTCAATCGGCCAACTTATTTTCTACTCTTTATATTGTGCCCTCTTCAACAGCCGCTTAGCACTATATAATTTTTTTTTATATAGGATCTTAGCACCATATAATTAATATTCGAGCAGCCTGGGGAAAAAATGTATCATTATTAGTTTAGACTTGGCTAATAGTTTATTAAGCATAGACTTGGCTTAATAAAAATGACAAAACAACCGCGTTTTCGGTGAGGCAAACCGGTGCCGATTTCCCTCCAAACAACCACTTACCAAACAAAAGATTTCCTTTCAAGCCCCCGGCCGTTGCATGCCAGTGCATCATTTTTTTTATAATATATTCAGAAACCCTATGTCGTATGCTGCTTGCAACTTGGTGAACAGTTGCCTTCTTGATCAAGCTTAGGGTTGCCAATTCGGTTTTGGTTTTTTTTTCTCTTTAAACCGAATCGATAAAGTATTGTTTTAATTATTGGACTCAAACCACTTTGCATTTACCTGTTTCGACTTTGGTTACAATCGGAGGAATTTTTTTTCCGAAAACCACGCAATCGGCCTGATACACAGATTAAACACTGATTACATAACTTTTCCATTTTCGATTCCTTGAAACCAAATCAAGTCATTAAGAGGTTTTAATAGTTTTCAATTAACCCAAATCATTAAACCGATTAATCGTTAAGTACGCCTTTACGAAAGGAATTGTTTCGGTCACTTTTTAGCTTGCAAATTTCTTGTACGGTTTAAAGTTTAATCGAACCGAACCGAACCAATACCCCACACCTGGTCAAGCTACAGTAAAACCCCACAAATATATGTATGACTATGAACTATGAACCTTCCCTGTCTGCTGACTGTCTCCCACCAATCCTTACGTCTATTTTTTTCTACTTCAAAAAATCAAAGCTACCGCGCATGAAATGTATAGATGCGGTCAGTCAGTCTTTCCCCAATTTTTTTTTAAAGCAACTAAGTAACATCAAAACCCTAGTCTTCAACGCATTATTGCTGGTATAAATAAACTCCCACCATTTCCCCTTCTAAGTAAAACCATATTGAAGAAAGCAAGCAACAATATTATGATACCCAAAAACCCTTCACTCCTCCTCCTCCTCATCGGAGCCCTTTGGGCCTCCCTTTTCATCACCATCACCACCACTCCAGCCCTAGCTCAACCGCCGTTCCCTCCCTTCCCGCCGCCGCGGCCGGCCCCACCAAACCCTAGACTCCTCAACGCCTACATAGCCCTCACCGCGTGGAAAAAAGCCATCACCTCCGACCCCAAAAACTTCACCTCCAACTGGTACGGCCCAAATGTTTGCAACTACACGGGCGTCTACTGCTCCCCGGCCCTCGACGACCCCAAAACCCTAACCGTCGCCGGAATCGACCTCAACCACGCCGACATCTCCGGCCACCTCCCCGACCACCTCGGCCTCCTCACCGACCTCGCCCTCTTCCACGTCAACTCCAACCGATTCGCCGGAACCCTGCCCTACACGTTCCGCTACCTCAAGCTCCTCTTCGAGCTCGACGTCAGCAACAACCTCCTCGCCGGCGAGTTCCCCTCCGTCGTCCTCGACCTCCCTTCTCTCAAGTTCCTCGACATTCGTTTCAACCGGTTCTATGGAAACGTCCCGTCGAAGCTCTTCGACGTGCCGCTCGACGCGATGTTTATCAACGACAACAGGTTCGCGTCTTCGCTCCCGCCGAACTTCGGGAACTCGCCGGCGTCGGTGATTGTCATGGCGAACAACAACTTCGGCGGGTCGTGTATCCCCGCGAGTTTGACCAAGATGGGGTCCACGCTGACCCAGATCGTTTTGTTAAATATGGGCCTGAAGGGGTGCTTGCAGCCCAATTTGGGGGAGTTGGGCCTGGTGAAGGTTTTTGACGTCAGCTTTAATGAGCTGGTGGGCCCGCTTCCGGAGTCGATGACTAGGATGAGGAAGTTGGAACAGCTGGATGTGGGACACAACAGGCTGTCGGGGGAGATACCGGCCGGGATTTGCGCGCTGCCGCAGTTGGTGAATTTTACGTACTCGTATAATTTCTTCGAGAAGGTGTCGCCGGTTTGTCTGAGGTTGCCGGCGAGGGATGATCGGCGGAATTGTTTGCCGAACCGGCCGTTGCAGAGGTCGGCTGGGGAGTGTAAGGCGGTTAATGCTTATCCTGTTGTTTGTAGCTCTTTCGGATGCGTGCCTCCCAGCCCCCCGCCGCCTCCACCTCCACCGCCGCCGCCGCCGCCTCCATCTCCACCTCCGCCATCGCCACCACCTCCATCACCGCCACCACCATCACCGCCTCCTCCACCGCCACCATCGCCACCTCCACCATCACCGCCTCCACCATCGCCGCCACCTCCACCGCCGCCATCACCACCTCCGCCTCCACCGCCATCGCCGCCACCTCCACCGCCGCCATCGCCACCTCCGCCTCCACCGCCATCGCCGCCTCCACCATCGCATCACTACGAGTACCCTTGGCCTTGACTTCGGCGAGGGTCTTTTTCAAGTTTCACGTTACGACAAACAAGAGAGAGTGTGTAGAATGTCAAATTTTGATTATTTTTTTACTTGTTTTTTAGAATTTAATTAACATGGAAGATTTGAGTTTCATTGTCTGGTTTTTATGTAAGTACATCTTTTGGTGAGTAAGTAAAAATTATTATAATTTTGGTACTTCTTATATTGACTTGAATAAATTATAAAGTCTTGATTCGTATGCATAACTCATGTAGTATTAGGCTCAGGTGTTTTCGTTTATCAAATAAGTTTTATGATACAAATTGAATTTACACGTTTAATGCTGCGATACGAATTCAGTTTGTATCTATACATTTGAGTATATATTTATTTATAGTAACAACTAAACATGACCTTAACCTTAGGATATAAATTCAATTTGTACATATACATTTTCGTATAAATTCTTTTAGAGCATCTCTGTAACATTCCATTTCGGGTAAACTCGTATTATGGCCGCTACAAAAATTACGCTATTAAAATCGAGTGTTTTGATAGTATTTCGATGAAAATCGAATTATCAATCGATCAGATAAATAAACATATTAATTATATAATTATATAATATATATATAATTATTAAAAAAAATAATAAATGCAAAGCAAAAGCGGCAGCAGCCGCTATATATATACACAACTTTTCCCCCTCCCCTGCCATCCATTTCCGGTTTCGCAACACCGAGAGAGAAGCAGAAACAGAGCCGCGCACAGGGGAACTCCTCGGAAAATTTTCACAGCTTGATTCTTGAACTTTAACCATCCAAAAATTCCGTAAGTAATGCCTAATTCATTCATACATCGTAGTTTATCGATTTAGAGTTTTAAAACGAGTTTTTGGTTCAGGAATTTTTTTAATTCCCGATAAGCCAAATTAGAGTTTCGGAGTATCCGGAAGCCGGATTGAGCCCAAATTTCATATACGAGCTTCCTGCAGCGAGGTTATTAATCCTCTGGTTCTAATCCATGAATTTCGGCTATTATTTTTGTCGGAGCCGGGATCGCTGAATTTAGCTCCGACCAAAGTTTGATGTGTTTTTATCGAGAATTTGAACCGGAGCCTAGTATTAACTTTGACGGGGACACTGCAGGGGATATTAGAAAGATCTCAGATTTTAATTCGGGGTTCGTTCGTGAAATTGACATTTTAGTACTGGAGGCAAAAACTGGTGTTTGAACGACTAGAACTGGTGAGGGATTAGCACGGCATACCGGGTTTGTCGTATCACGATAATTATATTGATGCTTAGAATTGACCTAGGTGAACTAGAATGGCATAATTAGGAGTGTATGAACTTTTGGTGCTATATGATGAACCCTGGATTGCTGTATGATATTATTGACTTGCTCGATATGGACCTTGGTTATGCTGATGATTTCGTATATGTTGCAAATTGTGGGCTTGACTGTTGATATGCCTTATGATGGTTCGAGAAGGTGATTGAGTATGATTTTTTCATGATTGTTGTATTTAGATGCACATGTGGGAAAATATATATTCCCTGGTGATATTATGATGTTTAAGGAGGATGACTTGCAAGAGGGTTTATCCCGAGGAAGTGCAATTATACGACTCCTGGTTATGTTGAGCCAATTGTGGCCAGGTCAAGAACATGTATAAGTAACGAATTACGATTAAGTAAGATGAGATATGAATCATGTATAAAGATACCAAATATGAGTGTTGTGGTCTCACGGTCAACTACATAGTAATTAGGGCTCCCTATGTTATTACTCTATTATGATATGTATGATAGTCACACCTCTCATGTGGTGGTGACTGAAGATTTCTTACGAGATATGACCACACCCAGAGTGGTGTCGGGGTATGACTACACCCATAGTGGTGTGGGGTATGTATGACCACATCCGACGGGATGTTGAGGTATGTATGACTACATCCGACGGGATGTGGGGTATGTTTCCCGGGAGAGTTATTAGCATGGGAGTAGCCAGGCGCCTATGATTAAAACATGATAAGATGCATATGCATAAGTCAAGGTGGTTGAGTCTTTTGCCTATTGGGATGTCGGATGGCCGATGTCTGATCCTAGTGCTTTGGTTTGTTTGCTAGATGTATGGTAGAGGTATGTTCTGTTATGAACTCACGATGCTATGATTATCTCACTCAGCTATGACTGACCCTCTTTTATCCCTTTTCTCTGCTTATGCCATGTGTAAGCAGATCATCATCAGCAACAGCACTAGATAAGTGTATAGGTGGGATCTAAACGAGGATTTGAAGGCAGAATGAGGTATTTGTGAGCGGCACAGCAGAGGCCGAGTAGGCCAAGGGGGAGGGGTATTTGGCTCATTGTTATTATTTGGGAGAGAGAACTATTTAAACACTAGCTGTGCACTATTTTACTTACGAATAATCATATCAGAATTACCAAATCCCTAATCTCTCTTCAATTCCCAATTCACAACCCTAAATTCCCAATTCTCAACCCTAATTCTTCTGTTTCTCATCCCTAATTCCTGTTTGTGACTACTGTTCTCCTCACAGTATTGTCTTCAACTATTCTGTGCTTGGACGACTACTTGGGATTTTGGCCAGTGATCCACACCTTTTTGTAAAAATGTTTTGAGAACGTTTTTCATGTGCATATTAGCTTCTGATGTTGTGTGAGATATCCACAAGTGTGGACAATTGATTATATGTGTATATGTGTGTGGTGGTGTATGTAGTGACGACTATGATATGTATTAGTAAGGTATGCAGTTGTGGAGTATGAAACTGGGCCTATGGCTATGAAAGCCAATGTATATGGCTGTGAGTATATATGTATGTCTACGAATGTAGGGATTCAGATGAATTATTTTGCAGGTTTTAGTTACATGAACTGTTAGCCCATTACGCTAGTAATTCATGTCGAAATTTTATTTTGGTAAATTTTGATAATTAATGTAACACCCGAGATTATTTCCGTTGCAATTGTATGAATAATATGATTAGGTAATACGTATAGGGTAGGGTGTTACAATCTCCATCAATGCAATTGCAAAAGAAATTGCATTTGTGTTTTTTATTGTCAACTCAAACTTTTTGCAATCCACATCATATTCATTTCATTCACTTATATCAATGCAATTAACTAGCAATTGCAAATTTAATTAAATATTATGTTTAAATTATAGAAAATTAAGTAAAAGAGAAATAAATAAAATAAATCCCCATTTTTGTAGGCTTTTTTGACTTGCATATGGAATTGCATTTGTTGCAAACTTGCAAATATGCAATTGGTTGCCACATCAATGCAATTGGTTTTGCAATTGCAAACACCTATGTCATCTCATTTTGCAATTGAGAATGCAATACCAATGTGGATGCTCTTATAGTACAAACGGAACTTGTACCTTCGACATTATGATACAAATTCAACTTGTATCTGAAAACACCGGTACTTATGAACATCGTAAATTCCTCAGGGTTAATATATGCACAACTTCATAACTGGATCATTACTATATATAAAGATGAAGTTAGGTTACTGATGCTTAACAATCAACATTTTGAACCCTAAATTTAATTAAATCACAACTTAGTTACTATAATGTAAATTTTATATTTTGATACCCCCAAAATTAAATTTAATATAATATCATTGAAAAATCATGTTTTGATATATAATTTTTATGAGATTTTCGTACTTACAATTTTTAAAATTTCCATATTGGTCCAATGTTTATATTTCACTTGAATCCGTGAATTCAATCCACTAATCCTTTTGAACCAATCCATGAATCCAAACTACCACAAGATAAAAGTATAAATTTAGTTTGTACAATACAGGATGTTGTCTCGCTCAACTATAGGAGAAGATTCAACCATTTTTATATTTTCTAATTACGTGAAACATTAAATAAATGCTAAAAGAGATACGACTCTAAAATATTGCAAGAGCGGATTTATAAACTCATTTAGTACATTTACGGGATATTAAACAAATATATACTAACTACATGTAACAAAATATGTTACATCTACATTAACAAGTGTCTATAAATTGCTACGATGAAAAGGGTCGACTGTTGTATTGATGACCAACTAAAAAAATAGGTCACAACCTTTTCATCATCTACTTCCTTTTGTTTCAAATTTCACTTGCCTCCCATAACCGTTTCTTTATTTCTTTCTTTGCCTTCTTCATCTAAACCTAATTAGTATACTATTTATAAGTATTCTAATCACAATTATGAACGGATCCATACATGACTCACCAACAGTTTAGAGAACTAAAATAATTGAACTATGAACCATTAACTTTTTTCAACTCAATGTCGAGCCCAATTAAAAATGAATATATATGGTTATTACTTATTAGAAAGTCGTCATTTTCCATTATGGTTTTAATATGTGTATATATCTAGCTAAACATTCCATGCATATATATCGGAAATTCTTGCCGGATGAAAAGAAAAACACTAGAGAGAAGCAAAAGGAATACAAACTTCCATAATATATAGCTACTTGGGTTATGTAAATATCATTTACTAGCCAAAATTTTCAAAAAAAAAATTAAATTGGATGTTGACTGCCGTATATCTCTTCTTAGTCAATATCATATTGTCAAGTCAATATTACTAACAAAACTGCAAACGAAAAATTAATTTTAGACTAATAATACTAACAAAACACTATAACGGGCCACATAATACATGCCTATAGGCCATCTGCGCCTCGCGACTAGGCGCGGCATCGCTACCTAGTATATATTAATTTGAGAAGAAAAAATAACATTAATCTAAAGACCATATTATAAGGGATAAAGAGAGAAATTTAAACATTTATTCACCGTTGGCATGTTTTTTTTTTAAGATTTGGACAAGATGTGCGAATATCCCGATAGCATATTTCATGAGAACGTCAGTCTAATAGTGAAAGACGTATTAGGATTAAGGACATGACTGATAATACATGTTGTTTGTTTTGATCCGATCTAAATGCCAATTCGGTCAAATTTTTC